CTGTAGTAAAGTGAATATTGCAGTAAAGTTTCATAATAAAGCAAGTTGTAGTTTTTTTGCTGGTGGAGGGTTTGCCTTCAATTTGTAAAAATGAAACCCCTGTGAAGCACAATGAAGTGAAGTGCAATAAAATGAAGTATGCCTGTACTTATTGCAGAAAAGTTTGGAAAGCATATAGGAAAGTAATGAGAAGAAAATAAAATTACCTGTGATACCACAATCCAGATATAGCGATAATTAGTATTTGGATATATTTCCTTTCAGAGTATTTTCTGGGTATAAATATAAAGAAGTATCTTTACACATTTGGGATCACGTTATGAATATGATTTGGAGTTCTTTGGTTTTCAAGTAATGTATTATATTTCCCCTTGTCAATTGTATTTTAGATTTAATGTGTTTGTATTTGCTTATTACCCACAACATTTGCTAAATACTTGTACATAACTGTTTGTAGGACTATGCATGCTTTTTGTATTTCTGGTTTTTGCTAAGATTATTAATCTAAAGTCTTTTTATTTGTAGTGCTTAGAACAGCCGATCCTTAATAAATGCTTTGTCATGATGAGAAAGATCAAGGCAGAAATAGTTTGTGAGAGTGGTCTAAAGCAGCGATTTTCAGCCTTTTTCATCTCATCGTGTATATAAACTAATTAGTAAAAATCTGCGAACCACCAAAAAAATATATCTTTTTGCCAATCTGACAAAAAAATAGGTATAATTTTGATTGATTTACTTAAAAGAAAATAGTAATTACTTACCCTTTTTACTCCAAAATGACTTTTTAAAATATCAGGTGCCTCTACTTGTGTATATGGATTTCTCTTTCCAAGAATTAACCAATCAGAAGCAACCTTATTATATGCAGTGTGACCAGTAAGATGCAACTCTGTTATATGACCTCTATATTTACAGTTCAAGACAGGGCATTTGCACGGGATGGCTATTGTTGTGTTGGCTATTGTCATTTTTTTTTTTACTTGACAATCTAAGGAAAAAGAGGTCAGTGCCCCTGACTAAATAGTCCAGTATTGCATGTTTGAAACATTCTTGTGACACACCTGTTGAAAATCACTGGTCTAGAGGAAGCCTGTTCGGCTTACAACTTGACAAGATAGGGGAAAAAGGGTTGATGAATCAAATACCGAGTTAGCTAGGCTGGCTCTGAGGAAGATTCTGGTGGCCTTCAGGTGGGTAATGTACTATGGGAAAACAGGGTTTTGTGCATGTTTCCCTCCTAAGCAATGTCTCAGGATTAGCATCTTGTACTTAATTTTTTGGTAAATTAGTGCTGATTGGCATTGGTAGATGTTTTTTCTTTTTCTTTTCTTTTTTTTTTTTGCCCTGGCACCTTTCTGCACTTTGCCATTGTCAGTGGAAATACAGTGATTTCATAAATATGTAGATATTTATGTAGAGTGGTAAACTGGTCTGTGGCAGAATATATGATGGTTAAATTAGGCACCATTAATCTGGGCTTTCCTATGGCAGAATGTGAAAAACTGAATTGCAATCAGGAAAGAGGATCAGGGGAGCCAAGTGTTTACATTTCTGTGGATGGGTGGTTATCCTCAGATGAACCCCATTTTAATCTGTAACTGACTATTTTGGGAACCTGGGGAAGAAAGTAAGTATTACTAGATTTGTAGGGCCCAGTCTATTAATCTGTCAACTTTTCTGAAAATTAAGTCAGTGTTTTTTAGGCATGGAAATTTCTGTAATGTAATTTTTATTCATGGTATTGGAACATGAGTAGTGTTGATGGGCACTTATTTCTAAATTTGTTTTTCCTGCTTTAAACCAGATGAGCCAGTGGACATGTCAGTGTTATCTGAAGGAGGAAGAGAGTCTTTTCAGAAGAAACTCAAAGGTGATGAATCAGTGGAGATAGAAAACCTCCCTGTGCCCCCTGAGCCCACTATATCACCACAAGCCTCAACACCAGTGTCACAGAGCACACCAGTCTTCACTCCTGGGTCACTTCCTATCCCATCCCAGCCTGAGTTTTCTCATGTGAGTGTTGTAGAAAGATTTTTTCCTCCTAACATTTTTAAAAGAATAACCTTATTGAGGTACAATTTATAAACCATAAAACTTACCCATTTTAAGTGTATAGTGATGTCTTTAGTAAATTTTACAAAGTTGTGTAACTGTCAACACAATCTAGTTTTAGAACATTTCCAGAGTCACCTGACATTTTGGTGTACTTTTAATGTTTAAATTCTGTACTGTGTCTTTAAACTTTTTGAAATGTTACTGCAAAACTAGAAGGAGGCATTCATCATTATTCTACTTTAATACAACTACTTGTCATTTTTGTCTTTCTACATTTTATAAAAATGAAGCTGTTTATAATGAACATATAACTTTCATTTTTTCCAGTTAACATTGTGTCATACTGATTTTTCAGTGTTATATCATTTTCATATTATCCTTTCAAAACTTGCCTAATATTTCTTTGAGTGGATGTACCATAATTTAATTGTTCCTGTGTTGAGGTTATCAGGATGGTTTTTAATTTTCAAATGAGAAGTTAGTTTTCTTCTAAAAGCAAGGAGAAACTAACATCTCAAGTGTATAATTTTATATTTAAATTTTTCTTTACTTTTAAAAAAATTTAATATTTTTTTAGAGAGAGGGGAAAGGAGGGAGAAAGGGAAAGAAACGTCGATGTGTGAGAGACTCATTGATCAGTTGCCTCTCTCATGCCCCCAACTGGAGACCTGGCCCACCATCTAGACATGTGCCCTGATTGGGAATCAAACCAGGCAACCTTTCAGTTCTCGGGATGACACCCAACCCACTGAGCCACACCAGTCATTTGTATAATTTTAAATTTAAATATTTAAAAAGTGAAATTTAAGTTTGATTCATAGTGAATTGAAGGTCTTTAAATCTAGGTGGCCATATAATGTAGGCAGTCTAAATGCCTGTTCTTGTAAGATCTTAAGTGGGGCAATTATTTTAGTGTTATAGGGAGAACTTTCATGCCTTTCAGTTTACAGGTGTTGTAGTGAAAGTTTATATTTAAAAATGAATAACAATTTACCAAAAATGTAGTAAGGAAGAGACAGTAGGAAGAAACAAATTGAATTGCTGTCTGGAGTTTTAAAATTTGTTTGTCTTGCTGAAAACTCCATTTTCTGAAAGTCATTAGAAGTGATTTGGTGGAGTAGTCAATAACAGGACTCTAGAGTCTGAACTTGCTGGACTTACTCCTGGCTCTGCCATTACTATCTTTGTGACCTATTGAAACTGAGCTTGATTTTCCTTATCGAATCAAATGGGGATATTGCACTACTTACTAGTTGTGAAGGTTAAATGACTTGATAAACTATAATGTATAAGCTGTCTAGGATACTGTCTTGCATGTGGTAAACACTCCATAAGGATTAGCCATTGCTGATAGTGAAAGAGTGAAGACAACGTTGCCTTTTTCGATGAAGCAAAAAAAATTTTTTTTTAATGGTCAACCATCATATTGTTTTCTTTAGCTTTTGTTTTTCTATTAACTGTTGTACATGAACATATATAGTTTGAAAGAGTCATTAGAATTTAGGGATGAGCTATAGACAATGATGCATTGCATTGAGAATTTTTCAGAAAAGGTAGCTGATATTAGAGACCAGTTACCAGATGTTTATCAGTAACCAAACAGGCCTTTTAAGGAAATGAAGGTCTTAGCTATGGTATCACTACCTGAGGAAGTGATTTCTGGCCATAAAGGGAAAACTGACTTTTTTGAAGAATAAGGCACTATGGAAGAAATTGCCCCATCGTCAACATTTATCAAAGATCTTCAGAGGCAGATGTAAAACCAGCGATGAAAATTTGAGACAAATGAGTGATGCTAAAACATACTCAAATGTCTCTGGAACCTAAGATGACTATAGTCAAATTTCTTTGGACTCATATTTTAAGATTCCTCTATATGCCTTTTTAAAAAAATCTCTGAACAGTACCTTTACAACATAGTTTTAATGTTTAGAGTTTGATTGTACAGTAAGCATTTGTAAAAGTCAAAAAAGGAGTCAGATAGTTTAAACAAGGTGTCTTCCCATCCCTACATAGAGACAACCACTTTCAGTTATTTAAGCTTTTTCTTGTTATTTACCTATATAAATCTATATTTCATGCTTATATTCCCATACAGTTAAAATTTTTTAAAAACTATTTCTCCATGTTTCCTATGTAATGTTCTAATTTTGTTTAAATCATTATTGAGTTTACATTATTATGAAGTTATTATAAACATTATTCACAGCAAAACCTGTGAAATACTGTGATTATTTTTCCATGTTTGCATAATTTCTTGTTTTCTCTGGAATTGATAATTATCTTTTTTATTTGTTTAAAATTCTATGAACTTCTCGCTAACTCAACTCTAGGCTTTCTACTAATTGTCAAAATCTCCTTTTCAAGATCTTCAGGGGCCTCAAACTTTGTCTTTTTGGAGAAACCTCTTTTGGAGCCTTCTAATTTCTGATCTGTGTTATTGCCCTCTGTGACTGGCGGATAACTGTTGCCTCCCTTCCACTGTTGTCCTCACCTATCTTTGTGTTGGATTCATCTTGGGCTGTATGTCTTCTTGCATGGTTTTTACCTCATTTTGGTGGAGGATATTCTTTAGTAGCATGCTCTCTACTGTCATACATTAGTCATAGTTTGTAGGAGTACAGAATTGTAGGTTGGAAATAATTTTCCTTTAAATTTTTTGAAGGCATTGCTCCACTTTATCAGACTCCCAGTGTTGTTCTTGAGATGTGAGTAGCTAGTCTGATTCTGATCTTTAACATATGAGATTTTTTTTTTTCTTACTGGAATATTGTAGGATTATCTCTTTGTCCTTAGTGTTCTGAAATTTGACTGTTGGCATAGAACTATTTTCATTCATTGTGCTGGGGAAATGGGAAGCCCTGTCAGGGTGGAAACTCAGGTCCTTCAATTCAAGGGCCCAGGGACAAACATTTAATTAGTTAATTTCTTCCCCTTATTTTGTCTTTTTTTTTTTTTTATCTCTGTCTTATTTTGTTCAACTTCCTGGGTGATTTCCTCTACTATCGTTTTTTTTAAAACGACTTTATTAAGATATAATTCATGTACTACATTTTTCACCCCTTTAAAGTGTACAATCCAGTGGCTTTTTAGTATATTCACAAAGTTGTGTAGTTATTCACCACACTTCACTTTGAGAACATTTTTGATCCTCCCTACCCCCTCCCCATGCAAGAGACCGCATGCCCATTGGCAGTCACTCTCATTTCTCCCACCCCTGCTCAACTACTAATCTACTTTGTGTCTCTATAGATTTGCCTATTCTGGACATTTCATATAAGTGGTATTATACAATACATAGTCTTGTGATTCGTATGTTCCATTTAGCATTTCTTCATGGTTCATTCATGTTTGTGGCATTTATTAGAACTTCATTCCTTTTTATTGTGAATTTCTACATTGTATGTATATACCACATCTTATCCATTCATCAGTTGATGGACATTTGGATTGTTTCACCTTTTTGGCTATTGTGAATAATTCTATGCACATTGTGCACAAGTTTTTGTGTGGACATATGTTTTTCTTTTTCTTTTTTTTTAAAGTTTTTCTTGTACCTAGGAGTGTGATCGCTGGGTTCAGCAGTCTCTTAACTTTTCTCTTAGTAATTTTTATTCTCGGGTGTTTAATTTTGAACCCTTTTTTTCTCTGGACTTCCTTTCTCTCTTCTCTTTTCTTTAAAAAGCATTTTATCTAGTTTTATGGGTATATTCATATTCATTTCTCCCTAAGATAGTAATACTACCTTTTGAAAAAACTTTTTGAAAAAATAGTTTTTTCTCTTCCCTGGAATAGTTACTATTTCTTCTAATAGATTTTAGTTAGTTTTGATGTTTGATTTTCACATTAAAGGCTTTCTTCAAGTATCTGCTGATCCTTGATTGTCTCCTTTAAGAGTAAAATACCAGAAGACTGATTAGAAATTCTGACCTGGTAGTTGGTGCTTGTTGTTTCTGGGTTTCACTGTAGTATAATCTGCCAGGCCATTTTTGGGGTCTCCTAATGTCAGTATCTTAATTTGTCTCAACTTGGTCAGGCCCCCCAGAAAAATGTTCAATTTCCTGTCTGTTGGCTGTCATTCTAGAAGTCTGTTGATGGAAGAGGACTGGGGTGTTGAGAGGCAGGTAAAGTGTAAAGTTTCCATTTAGTATATAAATTTTCATTTACTCTCTCTGTTTTCAATGTGGTACTTTCTGATAACTGTGCCTCTTGTCCTCCAGTTCAGGGACTCTTTATTTTACTCTCTCTAGGGCAGGGACAGGTCAGGGAGAGAGGATCAGGGAATTGAACTACTTCTTAAATAAATTTCCAGCCAGTCCTCCTGTTTTTAGCTTCGTCCTTACCACCACTTCCAGAGTTACCTGGCGCTGCTGCCAAGTCCTGAGTCTTTATTTGGGGCATGGTGGTTCTGTCGTGTAATTTGGGTTACTTGTTGGCTTTTTCCACTGCTGGCCGAGGATATTCAGCTCTCACTAGTCTGTTAAATAGATGAATACTCTTCCAAAATTTTGTTGCTGTTGTCTTTTTCTTCTGTTCTCTTTTTCTTGAAAATTCATGCTTTAAAAACACGCCTTCACAATTACTTAGTGGAAATTTGGAAAAGAGTTTAAGTATGTATATTAAATCCACCATTTAAGTTCTATACTTTCTTTCTGTTTCAAACTCCTTACATGTTTTTTTTTTTTCTTTAAGATTTTATTCATTTTTAGAGGGGAAGGAAGGAGAAAGAGAGAGAAACATCAGTGTGTGGTTGCGTCTTGGGCGCCCCCTATTGGGGACCTGGCCCACAACCCAGGCATATACCTTGTCTGGGAATCAAACCAGTGACTCCTTGCTTCACAGGCTGGCAGTTAATCCACTAAGCCACACTAGCCAGAGCTTTCCGTGTTATTTTAATAGCTAACCTTTGAATATCTGTTATTTCTCCTGAACCTTGATTACTGGAGTCCAAATTTACATAATTTTGATGTTGTAAAATTAAATATTTACTTATTTATTTATTAAAGATTTTGTTTGCTTATTTTCAGAGAGAGGGGAAGGGAGGAGAGAGAGGGAGAGAAACTCAATGAGTTGCCCCTTGCAGGCCCCCAACTGGGAACCAGGCTTGCAACCCAGGCATATGCCCTGAGAGGGAATCACTCCATAGATCTTTTGCTTTGCAGGACAACGCCCAACCCACTGAGCCATACCAGTCAGGGCGATAATCATTTTGGAGCGCAGGCCGGTGCTCAGTCCATTGAGCCACACTAGTCAGGGCAGATCTAAGTATTTATAATGAGATAATTACTAATCAAGAGAAAATTGGGATAAAGCTAATCTTTCCTAATATATTTGTTAATTAAAATTAAAATTTTTATTTTTCATGTACCGTTGACAGGTAATATTACATTAGTTTCAGGTGTACAACATAGTGATTAGATATTGACAGAACTTGTGATCACCCCAGTAAGTCCTATATTCATCTGAAATAGTTACTACAATATTGACTAATTCCCTATGCTGTACCTCACATTCCCATGACTATTCTTATAACTGCCAATTTGTACTTCTTGATCTCTTCACCTTTTGACTCATCCTCCTATGCCCCCTCTCATCTGGCGACCATCAGTTTGTTCTCTGTATCTATGAGTTTACTGTCTTGTTTGTCTATTTTGTTCTTTAGATTCCACACATAAATGAAATCATACGGTATTTGTCTTTCTGACTTACTTTACTTAGCATAATACCCTCCAGGGCCATCCATATTGTCACAAATGGCAAAATTTTATTTTTTTATGGCTAATAGGCCATTGTATGTTGGTATGTGTATGTGTGTTGGTATGTGTATGTGTGTATGTATATACACCACATCTTCTTTATCCATTTGTCTATTGATGGACCCTGGTTGCTTCCATATTTTGGCTATTGTAAATAATGTTTCAGTGAACATGAGGGTGCATATATATTTTTGAATTGGTGATTTGGATTTCATTGGATAAATATTGAGAAGTGAATTGCTGGGTCATATGGTAGTTCTTTTTAAAAAATTAAAAAAAATTTTTTTCATTGGTTGGTTTTAGAGAGAGAGAGAGAGAGAGAGAGAGAGAGAGAGAGATGGAGATCGATTTGTTCTTCTGCTTATTTATGCATTCATTAGTTCATTCTTGTATGTGCCCTGACTGGAGATCCAACCCACAAACTTGGCATATGGGGATGATGATAGAACTAACAGCTACTCTGGTCAGGGCCCTTCTAAAATTTTTTTGAGGATGCCCTGAGAAGTGTGGCTCAGTCTTGCAAAGTAGTAGGTCGCCAGTTTGATCCCCGGTTAGAGCACTTGCCTGACTTGTGAGTTTGGTCCCTATGGAGGCACGTATGAATCAATGTTTCTCTCCTTTTTCTCTATCCCTTCTCCTTTCTCTAAAAATGAATTTAAAAAATTTTTCAAAAAAATTTTTTTGAGAAATCTCCGTACTGTTTTCCACAGTAGTTGCACCAATTTACAATCCCACCAACAGTACATGAGGGTTCCTGTTTCTTCACTTCCTCACCAACACTTGTTGTTTGTTGATTTCTTGAAGATAGCCATTCTGACAGGTGTGAGATGATATCTCATTGTGGTTTTAATCTGCATTTCCCTGATAATTAGTGATATTGAGTGTCCTTTCATATATCTATTGGCCATATGTACACATTCCTTTTTGGAGAAATGTGTGTTCAGGTTCTCTGCCCATTTTTTTAATCAGATTGTTGTTTGTGTGTTTCTGTTAAGTTGTATGAGTTTCTTATGTATTTTGAGTATCCATTATCACATATATTGTTGGTAGTTATCTTCTCCCATTTATTAGGTTGTCTTTTTGTTTTGTTGACAGATTCCTTCACTGTGCAAAAGCTTTTTAGTTTGAGGTAGTCCCATTTTATTTTTTCTTTGTTTTTCTTGCCCAAGGAGACATATACAAAAAAAAAAATATTTATAATGTCTTTGCCTGCTTTTGGAATCAGTAATGCTGGCCTCATAAAATAAGCTTGGGAACCTTATTTCCTCTTTCAATTTTTTGGAGTAGTTTGAGAAGAATAGATGGTAATTCTTTGGAAGTTCGGTAAAATTCACCTGTGAAGCCATTCATCCAGGACTTTTGTTGTGAGTTTTTTGGTAACTGATTCAATTTTGTTGGTAGCGATCAGTCTGCTTCAATTTTCTGTTTGTTCTTAATTTAGTCTTAGAAGATTTTATGTGTCTAGGAATTTATCCTTTTCTTCCAAATTGTCCAATTTGATGGCATGTAATTGTTCATAATATTTTCTTGTAATCCTTGTGTTTCTCTGGTGTCAGTAGTCACTTCTCTTATGTTTCTGATTTTATTTAGTTGGGTCCTCTCTCTTTTTTGGTGAGTCTGGTTAAAGGTTTGTCAGTCTTATTTAACTTTACAAAGAACTAGCTCTTGCTTCATTAATCTTTTATATCTTTTTGAACTTTTGTTTTTTCTGCTCTGATCTTTATTATTTCTTTACTCCTACTCACTTTGGTCTTTGTTCTTTTTTCTAACTCCTTAATGTGTAAGGAACTGGATTTTTCTTGTTTCAAGAGGTAGGCCTGTATTGCTCTGAATACACTGCTTTTGCTGTGTTCTATAGATTTTTGGGTCATTGTGTTTTCATTTTTATTTGTCTCAAAGTATCTTTTAATTTCTTCCTTGATCTCATGCTTAACGTAGTCATTGTTTAGTAGCATGTTATTTAATCTCTGTGTTTGTGTATTTTTCAGTTTTCCTCTTGTAATTGAATTCTAGTTTCATACCAGTGTGGTTGGAGATGCTTGATATGATATCAGTCTTATTGAATTTATTGAGATTTGATTTGTGGCCTAACATGTAGTCTATCCTGGAAAATGTTCCATGTGCACTTGAAAAGTATGTGTACTCTGCTGCATTGGTGTGAAATGCTCTGAAAACACCAATTAAATCCGTCTAGTCGAGTGTGTC